GGACTGTATCCCAATTCAATTGTGAGCCTCTTCTCAGTCTACACTCATTCCTTTGGTGAACTCTCTAGTCTCATGCTCCCTAATTTATATCTCCGGACCCTCTGAACTTGCACATCTAACAATTGAATAAGCATCTCAAAAAAGCACATGCTCAAAACTTGAACTCCTGACTCTTCCCTTGCCCTAACTTGCTCTGTCATCAGTCATCCTCATCTCAGTAAATGGCAACTCCATCCTTCCTTTAGTTGCTCAGGAGAAAAAAATTTAAAGTTATCTTTTGCTCATCTGTTTTCTTATACTGAACTTCAAATCAATCAACAAATCCTGTCCTTCTGTCTTCAAAATATATGCAGAATCTAATCCATTCTTACCACCCTACTGCTACCATGGTAGTTTGTGCTTATGGGCGGGAAGGTGCACAGTAGTGGCTGTGTGTGTGTGTGTGCACACACGTGCTCTTCTACCCTTGCCCCCTCTCCACACACACAGTCTATTCTCCACACAGCAACCACAGCTATTTTTTCTAAAACAAAAGTCAGATTATTTAATTTCCCTGCTCAGAATTTTCCAGTGAGTCCCCATCTCACTCAAAGAAAAAGGCAAAATCTTAACAGTAGCCTACAAAGCCCTTTATGATCTGGCCCTGCTCCTAGCTTGTCCTCTCATTGCATTGCCTACTGCTCTCTCCCAGGTGGGCTCCTCCCTCTCACCACCCTGGCTTCCTTGCTAATTCCTTGAACATATTGAGCAAGCTCCTGTCTCAGGCTCCTTGCACTTGCTTTTCTGCCTTCTGAAATGCCCTTCCTCAGATCTCTCCATAGGTTTGTTTTCTCACTCCCCGCCCCCTATAAAATGAAATCCCCCTATCTCCTTTACCCTGCGCTATTTTTCTTTGTATCACTTTTAATCCCTGAGAATTTTAAAGGCTTGAAATATAAAATCAGTAGCAAATCGGCCCTCTGGAATAGAAACCGGGGAGAGAGAAGTCTGAGGGGAGAGGGGCTCTGCCTTAATCTTGGTGTCTGGGGAGGAAGCAGGGGAACAGGGCTGTTTGTGGGCAGAGGAGCCTACCTTCCTTTGAAGCACCAGCAGGCGGCACTACCTCCTTGGTCTGAGAAGGCATCAGCCTCTGGTAGAGAAGCGGACAAAGTTCTGGCTAAGGTAATCCCACCCACTCTTGGAGCTAACTGCTGACTGTGGGGGCTTCCTGAGAGTCCAGCGCCTTTGGGCTTCAGGACCCTTTGGTGCCTCCAGGTGGTGGCCTACGGTGCTGCAGCAGAAGGCGTGAGAGGAGGAGGGTGGGCAGCACAGCTGAGCTCACCACTGCGGGCGCATCCATCCCTCCTGGGCCTATAATTTGGGTTCCCCGGGCCTGGCCGCCCCTATCAGCGGCTCAGCAATAGATGACTCACTCGGGACCCTGGGCCAAGGCAAACACAGCGGGAGGAGGAGAAGGAGGTTTCCGAGGCTGCTCTTGGCTTTAGCCACCGCCTCAGTTGCTAGATCCCCCAATCTCCAGAGGCCCCCATTCTTTTTTGACCCCCGCCCTCCAGGGCCCCAGTGTCCTTCCCAGATAGATCCTGCTACACCCTCCATCCCTCTGATGGGAAGGCAGCCCTCCACTCTTCTCATCAAGGAGCAGGGGGATCAGCTTGTTCCCACTCCCTCCCTGAAGTAATGACAGCCCCTCACTTTCCCCTCTAGTCATGGCCCCAACCCTTGTCAAGGTCTCTCTGGTTCCCGCCCCTCCCCTTTCCTGGAGCTGGCCGCGTGCTTGGGATATTAGGCAATGGGTGTGTACCCACAGCCCTCTGCAGGCCCCGCCTGCCCCACCACCCTCAGCGGCCTGCCTGCGGGTCAGTGCTCAGGCCAGCCGGTCGGGCTGAGGGCACTGGGGGCCAGCTCAGGCCACCCAGTCTGCCTGCCTTTGGCCTCCTGTCCCAGAGCTACGCTTCTGCAGGAAGAGAGACCAGCTGTATGGGTTTTTGGATTTGGGACAGGCTAACTTGTGGAGCCCTGGAGTCACTGAGAAGTTGCAATTGATGGTTCTGACCCTGGCTCTTCCTTGGCATCTGACTATATTGCAGCCTGACAAGGACCGATCCAGAAGATACAATCCAAAACCTGAGGGGGACTCAGAGACATATGCCCAAGTGATCCCCATGGGAGAAAAAGGGACTGGGAAACCTCATTCCCCTCCTCCAGGGACCTGTGTGGATTTCTAGGGTGACATGCTGGAAGAAGGATGAAGACACTGGCAAGAATCACCAAATCCAGGTGTAAGGATGAAAGCTACTGGGATAGGTCTTGTGGATTCTGATGGCCTCAAAAGCCACACATGGTTTGGTTCTTGGCCCCAAAACAGGAAGGAGAGGCAAGAGCTCGAGGGTACCTTCTCCCCGCACCTCCCTCAGGTGGGAATGCAGAAAAAAAGCAACCCTCTGTGGTCACAGCTGTCCATTGTCAGGAACCATAGGGCTCATTCCTCTCCAGCTTGCTCAGGGCCTGGCACATAGCGGTGATCAATAAATATCCCACCAGGTGAAAATCTCTGATCTCTCCAGACTGCTCTGCCTTCCTAGAAGGCAGTGTCGCCCGCAGCACCGGCCAGGACTCCGAAGCGCAGGCTGGAGGCTGGCTGCTCAGCAGAGCTGCATGGCCACCACCAAGGAAGAGATGACTGTGGATGTGGGTTTCAGCCCCGTGGCTCTGCTCCCCTGGGGGGCCTGTCTCTGAGTCAGCGTGCCAGCCTTGGGATCGAAGGGCCAGCCGTTCTTTGGGCTGCGGTCTGGCAGGGGCAGGGGGGGCGGCTGGGAAGCCTGGGGCCCCTCTCTGGCAAAAATAGCCCACAGTGGTTAGAGCTGGGAGGGTGAGTCAGGCAAGAGTGCAGTGGCACCTAACCCCTTCACTGCCACTGGAGCTCCCTAAGGTAGCTTGCTTTGACTGTGCACCCCAAGATCAGGCTCTTTAGTCCTTAGGTCCTCCTCATTTCATGTGAAGCAAGTCTATGAGCCTGGAGCAGGAATATGGGCCACCCAAAGTGCAGACCTGGGATCCTGGGGAGGGCAGAAGACCTCTGGACAAGGATGCCTGCAAGCTAAGGGAAGCATGGGGCAGGCTGAAGATCTTTGGGGCTACAGGAGCCTCTGCTAGGACCAAACTCTGAGACCAAAGCTGACCCCTCCCAAGGGGCAGGCGCAAAGCTCAAAGCTCGGAGGTGGGTGGAAGCCCAGCCACCCAGAAGGGAGCTTCTCCCGCTGGCTCCCAGTGCCCTGTGGTGCGCTCTTGCTGAGGGCTCTACAGGAAACTGTCGGAGGAGAGAAGTTAGTTCTCAGTTCTGTCTTCGTCTTGTCAAAGGCATCCTCCAGCCATCCAGCGCTCTGTGGGGAAACTGAGGCAAAGAAAAATGACCGCTTGGAACCTGGGTCCCGGCTCCCTGGTCTGGGTCAGCGCACCCTCCTTGCAGCTTTGGCGACTCCAGAGCAGGTGAGAGGAACTCTGGCCACCTCCCCCTTCAGTGGGGCCGAGCCTGAACCCGGGCGGGCGTCGGGGGAGAGGGTGTGTGTGTGTAGGCTGGGAGGAGGGGGAGCGACTGCGCTCCCCGGGTCAAGGCGGGGGGTGCCCGGAGCGGGGTGGGGATGCCCCAGGCTCGGGGAGGGGCCGCAGCTCTGTCAGCCGTGGCAGAGCCGCCCGGGAGCTCCGCTCGAGTAGAGCCAGAGTCCCCAGCTCCTCGCTCGCCCTCTTCGCTCGCTTTCTCGATCACTCCCTCCCTTCCTCCCTCCCTTCTTCCCGGCGGCCGCGGCGGCGCTGGGAAAGCGGCGAAGAGGAGTGGCCCTGCCCTGGAAGAATGCGGCTCCGCCGAGGGGGCAGAACCCGACGACGCATTCTCCCCACGGTTTGAGCAGCCCGAGTCCAGGCGCCCGGACCCGCCGGCCGTGGACCCCGCACCAGAGCCGCTGGAGGTAATCGGAACCGGGAGAGCGGGGAGGTGCTCTGACTCTGTCCCATGGCCTCCCACTCTGCACGCGCACGCCGGGACCAGACAGGCACACGGGGAGTCAGACACGCATCCGCCCACGGGGGCGCAGAGATGCAGAGAGAGCCAGAGATATTGCCGGGGATAAGGAGCCAGCGAATAAAGGAGTGCCCCCAGATGTGAACGCGATAGCGCAGGGGTGGGGACTGAGGTTGGGACCTGTGAGGACCGGAGGGGCGACGCTGGGAGGCAGGAACCAGTCGCTGGGGCGGACGAGGAAGGGGACTCAGCCTGCACCGCGCGCTCCCTTTCGGGCCGGAACAGG